ACTATAAAATCTCTGACAGTCATCCTGCCCATGTTCCACAGCTCTTCATCTCAGGTTTTCACGCCCTCCTGCCGCAACCCTTTGCAGCAAAGGGTCCTGCAAGCAAGGCTGAGAATGAATCCACTGTTGTTCGAGATCATGTCATAGTTGTCTTATAGCTTCCATAACTCCATAAATAACCTTCTCTGTTTGTGCTTCTGATACCTCACTCCCTGCGTACCCTTCTTTTCTTCGCAGGCTTGCATAAGCTCTTGCCACCCTTCAACCCCAATCTCTCGAGCAGTCACCAGATTCTGTTCTGTCACTGTGTCTCCAGCCGAAGCATCGCTCAAGGCCCTGGACACATCGCTCAAGCGCAACAAGTGAAAAGTGGGTCTTGGCGCTCGCTGCGCCATGCTCTCGATCTGGTTGAGCTCTTCGTCCTCTTCTTCATCCTCTTCACCTTCACTTTCATCAGCTTCGTCAGCCTCCGCCTGCAGCCACTCGGCCAGTCGCCTCAGCGGTTGGAAGTTGAAGACTTTCAAGAACCGGACATGTAATTTTAATCCCCCTGTGACTTAACCAGGATAGGTTGTGCTAAGCATTCGGTAGTCATAACTTACATGAAAAGTGGTTCCCCACACACCTACAGAATCACAAACTGGTAAAAACCGAGTCTCTACAAGATCCCACGCACAAGGGCATTTGGGGACAGGCACAGACTCTACAAAATGGGAAGGTTCTGGAAGGGGATAAATAGAGAACAAGATACAAAATGATCACAAAAAATAACAGAAACAGTCCATGATACATTTTGTAGAGGGTACCAATTTTGCAAGTCAGGTAGCATGCACATTGGCAAATAAAGAACATGACGACCCATTTTGTAGAATGTGTCATTTTGTAGAGCCAGCTAAAACTCAACACAATGAAGCTACCAAGATTTTAGAAACGTCACATACCACCTCTACAAAATTGCAAACGGCGGAAACTAGCAGAACCAGCACTACAAAATGGATCAAACGGCAACTTCAGCACTACATAACAGACCATTCTTGAGGAAGGGGAGAAACATGGATCGGCTTCCAATGTTTTCCCAGAACTTTCAGGTCTCAGAATATGGTCTTGTGATGTCTTGTGTTGAAATCCGAGATGTCTACCCTCCTTTGAGCAGTTTGGGTGGTCTTGTGAGGCAAAGGTGGCAGATTTGCATTCTGTAGAACCCTGCACTTCGAGATTTTGGAAAGGGATACACACAAAAAGTCACATACCACCACTACAAAATGGCAAACTGAGCAAACAAGCAGAACCAGCACTACAAAATAGCAACTTCAGCACTAGCTATATAAAAGACTATTCAGCACGCGTCATTCTTTCCCCAGCCTTCCCCCTGCCAGTTGTGGGTACAACTTTTTCTACAAAGTGTCAGGTTTTCTACAAGATGCAAACCGGCGTTTCAAAACCACCTTCAATGGGAATGGCCACATTTGTCTACAGAATGACAAACATGCAAATCAGCATATTCTTGGTGTGCAAAAGTTTCCCCTCTACAACATACCAAACCTGGAAATGCAGGACAAGTGTTCTATTGACAATGCCTTATTCCAGTGGTCAACCCGTCCTATTCTGTAGTGAAAACATGCAGGAGGAATCAGGAGGATTATATAGTTTAAAGCATCGAACAAGGTTCCTTGAATCAAGAAAGATCATGAAAGCATGTTGCCAAAGAATGCCAAAGGACTCATAGCTGATGACTTGTTCTTCACCATTCTCCAGCTGCACACGGAAGGACTCTTGGTCGGCATCTGCATCTGGGTCTATCACAGTGGCCATCAAGTCGCCTTCGGGACTGGGCAGTGTCAACTGGTCGCCAGCTTCGAGGACTGAGCCATACCTGCAGTGGAAACAAAAAAATTAACAAACAAGTGAACATAGAGATATGAATGATACAGAATCTCTAGATGAAGCTTGAAACAACCTGGTCATATTGGTCGTATCTTCAACATGGATCGACAGCATGTCCTTAGGCATGACAGGATATTCCAGTATTTGCAGCCCTAAGTACAGTGGTGAGTGGACAAATGCGGGATGAAACCCCACCAACTTGATGCCTAGCTCCTCCTCAAAAAGAACTCCGTTTTCAAGAACCCTCCCGTAGAAGTCATTGAAGGCCGTGAAATCCTCGGACGTCCAAGAACGTCGCACGCTGTCGCGAGCCATGCACAGGATACACTTTAAGGTACAAAAAACTGGTTCACACATTGGCATACATCACCAGTAGCTGACACGGTAGTAAGCTTCAGACTGACCATGCATTGACATATGGACACACCACCAGTGTGGTACTGGCCACTCCCCTTGGCACGTCAGCAGTAGGAAGCATTTCAGCTTCCAGTTGCAAGTCTTCCAGAACCCCATCTTCTGTCGAAGAGAGGCTAGTTACAACCTTGGCCCATGGTGAATTGCGCAAAGGCAACGTTCTTACATGCTTTTACGGTCTTTTGAATTATTTTGCGACTTTGCTCCTCAGGTTAGCATAACAGAACACTTAAAACTGACTTGCCTTTTTCTCGTCTCTTCCAAGCAACCCGAATCCCACCATCGTCATCGACAGACTTTGCCCACGGACAAAAATTCTTGCCGATAATCAGCTTGAGCAGCCAATTTCGCACTGCAGCAGAATGCTCGTTGCTTTCGTCTGAGACTGCGCGAACATGAATTCTTTGCTTCTTGCAAAGGCACAAGGTCATAGCACCTTGAATGTCGTGCGGCGCTTTTGATGTCACAGGCAGAATGTGATGTGCACACACTCCCAGCATGGCATGTACTACATTGTACTACCTACCAATCTTTCCCTTTTCAGTGTTCTTTGTCACAAGCGCAATCAAGCCACCTGCAATGCCCCACGCCCTGTTCGAGCCAACCAAATATGATCTGCCACGATCTGGTGGTGGACATCTTTGGCCAGCAGCTTCCAAATGCCTCTGGTGGGCTGTCTGTGCAAAGACGACACCAAGAAATGGGTTGAATCTACATATGGAAAATGCCCTGCCTCAGTGTAGGGGCCGTAGCACAAGCAACATCAACATGAGCCCAAAGCTGCATCATTGCAAGTAATTCATTAATCAATGTCAATGTGTCTCTTGACTCATTCTTGAGGAGAGCCACCAATCTAACTCATTCAACCTGATTCAGATTCAGCATTAAGCTCTAACATTTGGATGAATATGATGAATCTATGATTCCCATATGATTCCTGACACGTTGTACAAGTCTGCCTCAGGCCCAGCTAAATGCTGTGCAAGCTGCTCCTTCTTCTATGTTTGGGTTTGTAGATGTTTGTGGCCCCTTGAACTCTTTGAGCCAAATTGAACTCAGCACTCCCAACACAATGGGGCAAGCTGACATGAGAAGGCTCACCCCTTAAACAAAGAACATTGAAACTTGTTCAGACCTCAACTGACTAAGCTGCAATAAGACATGAACCACCATGAATCTCTCCAGCAAATCCAGCGCCATCCAACTTCGACGTCGATAGGCCAAAACGGTAGAGAGCGCTGCCTGGCAACGGTGAAACGGAGACAAAACATGCCAGGAGAGGTATGGAGAAGCTAACCCAAAAACACTTTGACTGGCAACTCCAGTATATATATATATATATACGTATACTCACAGTATATACAGCAAGTAAGTGTACCAATCACATGTTCTCATTGAGTATGACTCAGTATGACCTTTTGTCCTTCTGGCACAATGATCGACCCCTGAGGAGCAGACCCCCAGGAAGACGGAGCCAAAGCGCTGTTCGTTGTGCCAAAGCCTGGGGAAGCAGGTCCTCACCGAGAGCTCCTTGGCATCTCCAGCCAGCTGGCCACGACAGATGGGGTCCGCCAAATACGTCGCCAGCATCTTGGAAGCTCGACGTGTGACGAAGGCAAAAACGCTCTCGTCGTCCAGCTTTTTGCTCCGAGGCCATAGAGGTTCTGCTAGAAGAGCAGGGCCATGAAGCAGCACATGTTGTGGTCCAGGTACCAGTTGGACTCGACCATGAAAGATGTGACGACGCGCCGAGGCTTCAATGTTTGCACTCAGCACTTGATCTTCCAGCTTCAAAAGCTTCAGCAGCCCCAAAGCCTCACGTCCATTCTTGTTGACAAGAATACTGTTGTGAAAGCCTTGCTCAAGAACCTGCATCTTGGCTCCTGACGAAAACCCAGGCAATTCATGGCAATTCATAGAAGTAGGGACATATGTTTTTCGAGGCTCCAGCTGCAAGATAATTTGTTGAAATATGTTGAAATGTCTTTTTTGCAACTCAACGTCTTGTCATGTCTTGTCCTTTCGAAGTGCATACAGCAGGAGCACCCAAACGAGAGGAGCTCAAAACGGTGACTTCTGCGTGAGGAAGACTCCGCTGCAAGAGACGAGCACATGTCAGTCCAGAGACTCCTGCTTGAGACATGCGATGTCGAAGTGAGACATGCAGTCACAACTCTCAAGATAAGGGGACCCCGCATTACCCTGCATCCTACAAGTGGAGAAAGTGACTGGACAATATAGACTGCTGGCAAATTGTTTGTGAGGTCTTTGTCAAAGGACAAACCCAGGCTTGCTTAGGGTTCACGGCAAGGATTCGATCCGACGTCTCATCGTCTCCTCCGCCCAATATGCAAAACTTGGGAGCCGCCATGAGGATACGACTTCAGGAAGCTACACTCCATGGACCGCAAAGGTCTGAAGAGTGATCTTTAAGATTCTTTAAGCCTACATCACAAGATACGGGTAACACTGTGTGCAACATCCTGATAATTCTGGCGATGCGAGCTTGTTTGACTTTCAATGAATGGCAACGCACGTGTTTGTGGTTGCCAGGTCTGCAGAATTGTTCGATTCCACTTGCATTCTACATATGAGCTGAGAGATCAGTTTTAGGTGTTAAAAACCAGACGGCTACTCGAGACATGTACAGCCATCTGTTTCTCACATATGCCAAATCTCGCAGGTGGTGAAGCGGGCAGTTTTTAGCCAGCAGGCATTAGACTTCGCAGATTGGCATTTCGACCTTGGGCATTTTAAAGGCGCGATATTATAGTTTCGATACATCCACATACGCATAGTAACATGTGGTAAATGGCCATGATGCACTAAATGGTAATACTTTCATATAATCTGATTGGTTGAATCAACATAGTGGTCAATGCTCGACAAAATGAGTGAATCAACATCAAACAACATCAACAAATCAACAACGTAACCTAACAGCACACGGGGTCTGCAGCCTCTTTCGCGCCCGTCTTGGGGCACGGACGGCGAAGTGCCAGCAACTCCCGTTGCAGCTCTTCTTCGGCTTCCCTCAGCCTTCAGAGGCGTAGATCGGATGCGTCGATGGGTGTCAACAAGTGCCAGTTCCACATCCGTTCCACCCTGTTCCACTGACTGCATCCTCCAAAACTAGCAAAAATGTTGTCTCATATCTTCAATCTGAATAATCATTCAGACACATCCATCCATCCATCCATCCATCCAGGTCTCCTCAGTCCTCTGAGCACTCGACTGCTGAAAGCGCTCATGGCCTTGGGCGATTCGGTGACTCAGGGCGTCCTGGCCGATTCGGTGCCCAGCTGGGTACCCAGCAGAAGCCACCTTTAGCCCCTCCAAAATCAGCATCAAATCGTCAGCATAGAATGGACATATGAAACACAACGCTGCCAATTCAATAGACATATGAAACAACGACTTGAAAACATGGAGCTCTTTTTTTAATGGAGAACGGGTGTGTGGACATGAAGTGCTACATCAGTTTTCTATGACTTGACTGTGAGTGAAATCATCAATCAACAAACAAGACCAAACAAAGCGAAAAGGATCGAAAAGGTATGCAACAAACAGCATCAATCAGTCACAACATCACTACCCTCCGTCAATGAATAAAATGTAACAAGTCAACAAAACATCAAAATATGTGCTGAAAGGTTTGAGAGGGCAAGGAATGTGCTCAAATTCTGAACTGACACTGAACTCTCTCTAAAACCGGATCCTGACCCTTCTCAAAGACCCTTATGAAACGTTCTATGGGAGGTTTCCACTCTCCTCATTTGTTTTTGGCAATAGAATCTACCTTCAACTACTGGAAGCCACAGAACCACCTGACATTTCCATGATTTTCCATGTTGCTTTTCACTCGGGAACAAGTTCCGCCTGCTTTGCGCTTCGCTCTGTCACCTGCTCTTGAAGTTGCTGCCCTGGCAGAATCAAGCTTCTGCAGCTGTGAATCCCCTCTCGGTCCTCCTGGGAGTCCTCCTGGCCTTTGACTGCAACCATCGCTTGCCCATTTTTGAGGCGAGCAACAACATCCTGGATGTGGCGAGCAACTCCTTTTGGGATCATGTTTGACAGGCAACTTGCTTTGCTTGAAGCCTTTGTATATTTGTTTGGGAGATTTAAAGAGGCTTAAAATCACTCGTCACTGGTATGTCCCGGCATGTCACGCGCTACATCAGCTCTGCGTTCATTTTAAACCTGTCGATCGCTTCATTCACAGCTGTGCGACGACTTGTCGCAAGTCGCTAAACATCCAAACTGAAACAACCTGACAAGCACATGGAGGGTGCGAAGCAACTGATTCGAGCTTCGTGCAAGCATGCACACACAATTAAGCTGATTTCAAAAAGCAAGGAGGAATATCCTCCTGAAACGGAACTAGGACCCTTGGTCCAGCTTGGAACCCGCCACAAACCATCTTATGCTCTTCTCAAGCCTGAGCGGACATTAGGTTTATTTGATCTTATTTGGCATTCTGCATTCTTTTCATGTCAAATTCACATCCAATGCACTACACGCTCTCCATTGGAGAGTTTCTTGTGTGGCCCCTCAATGGCAGTTGCAGCCAAAGGCATCTTGCCTGCATCCTCTATAGAAATCTAGAATAGACAAGACGTGGATGAAATTCTGTAGTACTTGGCTGTCCTTCGGTCAAAGGAAGGTGTCAGTGTCGACAGTATCACAACCACCCCCGCAGCCTTCACCAACTCGACAGGGTACACAGACCTTGTTGTCTGATCAAATGCTGTCTTCATCTATGTTTCAACAAGCACAAGACCTAGAGTCCACTGGTACATATAATACAATAGAACTCATCCCTTTCTCCAATCGAATGACTGGCAAAACGTGGCAGTTGCCAACACCAAAGCCAAGACACACAATCTTGCCAAGCTTGGGGAACTGGTCTTCCAAATACCTCAGCCCGGTGTGAGCGCTGCAGAATTGATCCTCTCATGTCTAACACAATAGTTTTTTGTCGGTTTGGACATGGCGCGGAACGGTGGCAAAATTAAAATGGGAGACATCGTGGGACATGCTCAAAACCATCGAACACCCACCTGGTTTGGCTCATTGTGTTCACACATTGATCAAGCTGTTAGTTACAACATGTTACAACTCATCTGCAGCTTCAACGGGTCTTGGTCTGTGATCCCATGATTTGGATTTCGACCCAGACGAGAAATGCTATCGACGCTGCTTGCTTCCTTTCTCCTTGATCTGCTTCACATCTGGAGATCGACCATATCCAGCAAACACCTCGATGACCGGGAGCTGACAAAGCACAAGCGGACCTGGTGAGTTGGGACTCCGTCTACCCATGGCGATCGGGGGTCTCCCATGGTCTCCCTATTCAAATACACAGTCATCCAGTTTTCTCAGGGAGGTCAAACAGAACTTGGAAGTGTGTCAAAAATATTGAGTCCAAGCAACCTTTTCCATCGTCTCCATGCCTTGAACGCCGCTCGCACGTAGACTCTCCCAAGTAGCTGATTTGGGACACACACAGACAAAGACCGCAAAACCCGGGCGTTTCATGAATGCCAACAAAGTGGGCTGTCCCAAAGGTCTGTGATGGACATGAACTCTGGCCTTGAACGACCTCTGCAATGGGAGCGATGCCATCCTTGTCCTGAGAAATTAGGTATTATGTTGAAAGATGTTAAAAGTAGAACTTGGCAAGTACACTTGACGGAGCCACTTCAGCCAGGCGTCCAAATGATCATTGTCTTTCCTCAATCCAAGTAAGTCAATCAGAAGCATCCAAGCAAGAGTCAGGTGGTTCTGTTTCCGTTCCCTTTCTCCCGTTGTTGGGATCTTTTCTGTGACAAGTCGAGTGTCATGTTGACAAACAACTCCTGTGCGCGGCTGTGAGAGTTCCGAAGCAGTCCTCCTGACACAGTCGAAGCACGCAGGTAGGTTTCAGTCGTCCTCCCGACGGGGATGTGTAGGTCAGATGTGGTCAGATCCGTCCTGCTTTAAAGGCCACGGTGCCGCGTTTGTTGGACGCCTCAGCAAACAGGATCTGTGTTCACAACATGATGCGCAAAAGGGTGAATATGAGTGATCGCAAGCGCAACATAGCCTACGGTAATTCCATTTTAGCTAGCAAGTGGCTTGCAAGGGTTTGGAGGCAAAAGGTGTGTTTTATTTATTTTTTTAAAACCTTTGGCAAACCATTCTGTCTGCCACCACGAATCTCTCACTCGGTCGTTCCTGATCTTGTCCAGCTCCAACCTGGGCACTGCCGCGGAAGAAGAACGGAAACATCAGAAAGGTAGAAGCACCTTAAATTAAATTGAACATCAACATTGCCTGTCACCACTGATTATATAAGCCTTAATGCATGGTGCATGTAAAACTAATGAAAGTCAATATTAAATAATATCAATATACATATCAAAGAATATCGGTTAAGGCTCGTCACCGAATTACCGACAATCACTTGACAGTCAATCCATCACATATACCAAATGCATCCAAATGCTGCAAATCCATGCACATCATGCACTCGCACTGCTTGCATCAATTGGATCAGTGACGTGGGCTCTGCCGGCAGCCCAAAGAAAACGCTATCCTGACACGTCGGCGAATCCGTGAAGTTCGTATGGTCGACTGCGCAGCCGAAGCAGTCAGCAGGGCATTCGTTCGAATCGGTGAAGTGTCGAATCGTGCCCAGGTGTTCTCAGTCCTTTTGAACGTGATGGATTCGGGATCCCTCAAGATCACCCATCCTCACCAGGGACATGGTCCATGGCCCCCATGGGCCCATGGGTTGATTCATGGCAACTCGGTCTCATGAAATCTCAGTGAGTCAAACGCTTGGATTCACCGCACATGTTAAATCGCCCTGGAAACATGTCTTTTGATATGCTAGGGATGCTTTTGTCTACTACAATGACGCAAGGTGAACAAACAAAAGCAGTCCTCAGCATAGACACGAAGCGCCTCACACCCTTGGGTGCCCATTCCGGGTGCAGCTTGAGCACCTCAACACATGCTTCGCTGTACTCTGGAGAACTTTAAAAGGAGTCATGTGCACACGTGTGATGAATGCCACGGTAGACCGAAAGAAAGAAAACAAAATATAAGGGAGAAAACACTCAGCCTCACTTACTAAAGCCTAAGGCTACTGCTACTTGTTCAGTTTCTTCACCATCGCCACCCTGCACATCCACATCAAAGGCCACAAGCGGATTCTCCTCCGGCCAAGCAAAGTGAAGCCGTTGTCGGTCAAATTTATTGGATGTTCCAAACAAATGTAAACCAGCACATTCGTGCCGGCTCATGAACCATGGTTTTTGCATGGGCTGACGAGAGAAGTGAGCCCATGCCCGCATGATGCCAGCAAATGTCCATCTTTCCAAGCGATACACCCATCCTCCCATTGACAAACGCAGAATCGACAAACCCGGTTACGGCTCTTCCTCTGAATCACCTCCCGCGCTGGCATGCTTGGGATCCAAGATAAGCCCTAGACCACCTGCAAAGCAAACAGCATAAACATGCTTCCTGGATTTGGGTCAACCCAGACATTTTCTAGAGACGTAACGTGGGTCATGAATGGTGATTCTCGATGTCAACAAAAGAAGTGTTCTGAATGTCACCAGGACAAGGTGCCTGCTAGCCACACGCTTCTTCGCTTGAGGTTCTCATCGTGGGAAATGGAAGTAGCGCTGGATGTCCGTGCTGCTGGCTGAGAAAAGCCTCTTGCTCTGCTGCTGTGAACTTCAACCACGACTTTGAACGACTTTCAGATCAAACACACAATGGAATATATATATATATATACTGTGTATATATATATATACTTTCAAACTTGATATTTAAAAGGATCAAGCTGAAGTGTGATGCTCTGTTTGTTTGTAAATCAAAGCAAATCATCTCCAATGTATGGGACAGCATAAGAGCAAAATCTCAAACACATCTCCTGATGGTGCTTACAAACATGCAGCATGGCAGCCAAGCTGATCTCGACCAATCATGAACAAAACCTCAGAAAGCAATTGGTGCAAGTTGCATATCAACCACTATCAACCCATGCATACCCATTCACACGACTGAGCAAGCATTTCTCCACGAATACAAAGTATATATAACGCGACATGCGCAACGAAAGATTCAGGCTCTCACAGCAAGGCATGAGAGCTTCACTCCACGATTGGCCATGTCTGTCTGCAAACCTGTTCAAATGGAACAAAAGTATAACGCATTCGTGCTGGTCTGGATGTGGTGAAGACCCACTTCATATAAATATATGCTGTTGATTGTATGCCATGAGTGATGGGTTGAGCAATGCTGGCACGTCCAGATTTCAATGGACAATGACAAAGCGAGCAGGAACAGTCAAGGTCACGGCCAAGGGACAAGGCAAGCAAATACTATGAAATAGCTTGACGGTACAAAATGGCTGCGCGAAACTCATGCTTGGAGTGTGCTGTATCATGTCAACCATGAACACTCATGAACCACTGAAATATGCCCTGAAGGGAGTAATCCTTCAAGAAGACTCGAACCTAAAAACAAGCTGTAAAGCATAAAACAATGATACCCATTCCTTTTTCATCTGATCAAAATGATCCTTTTCCAGGGTCTTTCAGGTGATGAGATTTTTCACAGATATGCGGAAAGATCCCAGCAACACTTAGAGCCCTTCTGATTTCTCTGCCGCACAGTTGCGGAAAAAATCAAAATTCGCCTGGCCTCGCACCTGGCGCGCGCTTTCAGAAGCTCGGTGTCCGCTGCCTGTGGTGCAACAAGAGAGAGAGTGCTCTCTGAATATCATTGGTGAACAAGAGATGACAAGCCAGTGGTAGGGTTCCCACATTTTTCAAACAGAGTTGTATGATAAAAGACCTTGAAACATTTTGGGTTAAGGGATGGGATTGCAGCTTCAAGATGAGATGTCCAAGGCATTTTCAGTGCCAACCTCACTCTCCAGGAGCGCATCTTGAGCACGGGCTTTGGCTGCCTGGGTCGGGACCCATCAACTGTGAGCTGTGAGTGCTTGCAGCCATGAACCCAGCCCATCCATTGCATGAAGTCGGTTTTCTTCGGTTGCTGGCAATCAAATGTCATTCATTCAAGTGCTTGCACAAACATGGTTCAAGTGTTGAACGAACAGATTCGAAGACTTGGCGCGCGAGTCGACCGTTCGCTGTGACCCTGCCTCTGTTTCTTTGCTCTCCTGTCGGATGCAGCTGCGTAAAGCCTCACATTCATCCCAGGTCTGGGTGTACAACCTCAGCAGAAGCAGCGTCGTTTTGGTGCTCTTGGGTAGTAACTGTTTAGATTAGATCGCTCTATACTCTGAGGTTTCGGTTTAAGCCATTCATCATAAACATGTTTTGCGAGATCCCAAATAGACAGCTTCAGCTTTTATGATTATATAGCGATTTCAATGGCTTGAAGAGGCACCACTGAAAAATAAACATCGTCAGCGAGTCTCGCTGTACATAGCGGTCACTCATGTCGGCTGCTGGTGGGCGGCTGGTTCGATCCAATTTGCGTGGGTCATTGGATCATTTGATGTCAGGTTACTTACACATACATTGAGCTTCTGCTATTCAACAAACCCTCACATATACCCCTGCTTGGCTCTTTTCACTTTTTTGCGTTCAACAACATGTCATGCAGTTTGTGCATATTATATCATATAATCTCACTATTATCTCACTTGGTTGGCTTGTCACTGGTAGCACGTCTGAGGCATGCTAAGGCAAAAACTCCACCAATTGATGCGCTCTTGCACATTCAACACCCATCATCAGCCTCGCGAAGCATTGGGGGTGCATCAATATCAATCGTCCAATGAAATCCAATGAACGCAACCGTCCACGACCCATTGAATAGTCTCGAAAGACTGTAATAAAAGGTCAAACCAAGCTCCACTATCGGATCTGATTCCCACAGAGTTCCCCCCACAACCTCCCAGCTCTCTAGTTCTCAGGCCATGACCTGCTCCTCTCACCTAGCAAATTAGAGCCTCAGCATATCTCAGCATGGTGCCAAACCATGTCAATCCCAAGTCCCAGGCATTCTCTTGAAATGTCTCATTGGGTCATGCCGAGTTGGTGCCCCCGAAACCTCTGGGCCCCCAACTCCGGTCTGCGCTCTGCAGCTCAAGTTGAGATGCCTCCGGCAAAAACCGGAAGAAGTCCATTTCAACATAACCAATGAACTATATATAACTATCAACTTCTTATATTTTTAACTGCAACTTATCCAATATGTTTATTTTATTTTATATATAATAAATAATAATAACATATTGGACCAAACTGCAACGACACACAGCTTCTCGCTCATTTTTTCTTGCCTAGCAAAGAGCTGGCATTCATGTTGTCAGCCAATCTGACTGAGCCTGTTGGCTTAACTGCTGAGCCATGCCGGCGGCCACCATGCTCCTTGAGGTACTTATCTGCCTCCTTATTGCCCATGTACCAGGCCACATCCCGAGCCATCCAGTCTTCCCTGGCTTTGGGGCGCTTTTCATTGACTTTGGCATTGACATCTGCACCGCCCGCAATCAGCAACTTCATGACTTCGAAGCGTTCTTTGTAATATTTGCTGCCGGCCCATTTCGACCCAGGGGGTGGGCAATCGACTGCGATTTGCAAAGGTGTTTGGCCAAACTCAGATCTGACTTCTGTGTCCCACCCAGCAACCAAAAGTATCTGGACCAAGTGAGGGTAGCCAATGTCAGCTGCATCAAGCAGAGTTTGGTGTTTTGTAGTGGCCTGCCCTAGAACCACCACAATGGCATCTTCTCTTCGCCATATCCCTTGGCGTGAAGGGTGTTGGGCCTGTCTCCGTGCACTTCGCATTGACATCAGCGCCAGCATTCACAAGGGCTTGCATGGCGCCCAAGTCCCCCAAGGCAGAGGACATGTGGAGCATGTTGTAGTCCTCAAGGTCCAAATTCTCGGGTCTTCACCACAATTGCAAGGGGTTAGTTTGTCAACTCTTCTTCGGTGAAGGACTTCTTCAACTTGGGCAAGGTCCACTCGCCTCAGCCGTCACCGGATTCTGAGTAGCCACACCCTTCTCATCCTGACAGATCACCTGTCGAATCTCCATCTCAGCATTGACCACACGGTGGCCGCAGGTCGGAACAAGCCACATGGCCACACAAACGACACCAAGCAGGGACATGGCGTCCCAACACAAAGAGCAAACAACGAGAAGTCAAGCTTCCTTGAGGAAGAGCATTGGACATGACAAGGACATGACACATTTCAATATGTCGCAACCAAAAAGCACCAAATCGCACAGGTTTACCACAAGTCCAAACCAGCATGTACCGTAATGTACCGTGCCGTACTCTTTACGGTACGATATAGCGTGTACCCTATGTACCGTACCGTACTTTTGATATGTACCCTATGTACCGTACCTGTCCGACCACCATCTGTCAGAGTATTGCTTTTGAATTTTGTTAACCAATGTGTCTCATAGGGGGCCCATCATGCACAGAATCAAGACGTTACGCTGATGTCCGTTGATGTGTCTTAGACCGCGTAGCGGTCTGCTGTTCTGAACCCAGCGCCTTGACGGAGTTGGCTTCCTGAAAAGCGTTTTGCGCTCCGGTGCGGGCTGAGCCCAGAAACTCGGCTCCGTGGTGTCAGTTCTGTGGGCTTGGAAATCTGGCTCGCCAAGTTTCGTGGTGACAAACCTACTGGTAGGTTGGCAGCCTACCGGCCTTGTTGTGATACCTGGCCACTGCTAGGTCAAAAGTCAAGACCCGTCCGCCTGCTCTTTCTGTTTCGTTCATTGGCATTATAAGGAACTAGGAGAGTTCCTCCATTATTTGACTCGCCCATCCAGCAATCAGAAGGTGAAACTGTAATCTAAGATAATCCAACAACTCTGAATCTGTGCAAACAAGCTTCGCTGTGGAGCTCATTCACTCGGCTATGAAGTTCATGCAAGCTGGCAGCCTTCCACTCTTTGAGAATAAATCTGCAAAGCCGTAGAAACAAAGCGATTGACTACCAACTCTCTCAGCTTCCCCGAAAATAAGTCGCTTGACCTGGATGTTCACCTGTTCGTTTCGTCAATGGTGTCTAATCTGCCGAAAAAAAAAAGAAAGAGGAATAACAAAAAGCAAAATCGACCTGGATTATCCTGGATTTGTCAATTCCACTGTCAATGCTTGGACCTGCAAGGAAGCGTCCAAGGACTCTTCTTGCAAACGTCGACCCCGGGCAGCCCCTGAGTTGTCCACATGGCATCGAACTGATTTGCACTCCATGATGTGATCAACTGCAATCATGAATCAATCTCTACATTTCTACATGGGCTGTCAGATCTGAATCAAATGCAACCTCCTTCTCTTTCTCTCATTGCATCTGGAAGGCTCAAAGCGAGATCGAGCTGTGAAATGTGCCCTCAATGCATGAGAGCTAGCAGCTATCTCCGTTCAAAACAAACAGCCCAGAAGCTTTGATTCGCTACACATGTTCAATGTGATCAGGTTTATAAAAGGAGAAAAGCATAGGAAAACAGAACAACAACTTCTTGCAAACGAGTCTCTTGAAATGCGTTGTTTCGCTTCCACGGCACTTCTCGCAAGCCATTCTTCTGTGTACATCTCTTCCATGACTTGACTCTCTGTATCCTGGAGCCTCGACATTGCAACACCTTAGGGAGTTCAGCACCAGAGAGAACAATCCCTTGACCAAATCATCTCGCCAGGCACCAAGGGCACCAAACATGTACAAAGGTGATCACGTTTGCGGTCGACCAAGCGGCAACATTGCTCTTCTTCTGAGCGCTCCAAAGTCATCTCAGCCTGAACAGCAGCACTTACAAAGGACTCGACAACTTGTTTTTTGCAATTGGAATGGTGATTATGACAGCAACCGAGCTTGATCAAGCTTGTAGATCCAACTTTCTTGGTGTTAACATGCGTAAACATGTCTTAAAATATTAAGTAACTTAGTGTTGATCGTTGATTCTAGGTTAGCTAGTCTGAGAGCAACATACAGGATAACAAAGGCATCTGAAGCAAGCTCCACTAATTTGATTCGTGCTCCACACATATGTAGAGGAGATAATATAAGACTGATAACACTTCACTACTCCATCCTGCACCCCATCACTGCCGCAGTCACCCCCTTGTTGAGGATCTCTTCAACGGCATCACGACTCTCTGAAGACGCTTTTCGTTGCCCACGCTGCGCCCAACGCTACTCGCCCACCACGCAGAGCCTGGAAGTCGTTGGCCTCGGCCTCCAGCATGGCGGTGCTTCGGCTCTCCAGCGCAGCCTCTGCGCGCTCGCTGCCGAGCTCTGCGCGCGAGGCTAAGAGGGCGGATTCAGCGGTGGCCAGCTGTGCCACCTTGTAGAGCCGTTTGGGCTGACGGCAAAAGACAGAAATACCAGGTCTCATGACTTTGAACGGTTCGGCAACTTGAGATGTTGATTGATTTCATGCCAAGGCTGACCAAATCACTCGCACGCGGCGCTCTTGCCGAGCTGTATGCAAAGATAGGAGCAAAGCATCATGCTCCTCGCCATACAAATGCGGCAACACTAGGCTGAAACAAACCTCTGCGGCAGCTTCACCTGCACCTATTGGGACCCACTGCCTTTTCAGCTAGCCTCCGAAGCATGTGCCATCATCTCATTGTTGCGCGTGAGCTTGAGAAGAGCTTCCTGTCAAGTTTGGAAACAAACATCTTTCCGAACATTAGAAACAAGAAGCTACTAGTAACAAGTGCATCGCTACTAGTAACAAGTGCCTTACTAGTAGTAACAAGAAGCTAGTAGAAACAAGGAATCACAAAGAACACGCTGCCACTGCGCAAAAGTGACCGACCAGACCCGGGTGACCAGGACAGCGAGCTCCCGCCTCCACCCCGAAGCGCGCACGTCCCAAGGCCAAAACAAGGTCCACCGGTACAGCTGCTGCGTCAGCCCAGTCTTCTGCTGCTTCTTCAAGCTGCAACAACTTCTTGTGCCGCTCCTAGTCAAGGATTCTTTTTCCGGTGACATGGCTCCCATCAAAAGAGCCTCAGAATAGCTAATCTTTTTCCAGAAAGGCTTCTGCCACCTAGAGAAGAGCTTGAACCCTTGTTGCCCCTCTGGATTGACACAACAGGACGGGAACGCAAGCGTCAGTGACTCCTGCTTCATGGTGCGGCGGAAGCGGATCTCTCCTTCACCAAACTGAAGAATCTGATGTTCTGGTGTGTTCTGCCAAAAAATACTTACACGCGGCACTTACTGAATTGACATGTCAAGGCACCGAGCAATCCGCGTTTTTCCTCTTGGATCAGTTCGATCTCTCCTCGAGAACTTGGAAAAGTTCATGGATCGGAAGATGAGAGGGGATGGAGATGGTCATACAATTTAAATACCTTTCACATCTCTTACCAAATATATCCAAATGCATTCAAGTTTATTTCGTTTGAACAAATTGAAAAGAAACACTCTGTCCTTCGCTCTGAAAACGGAGCTCTGCATCCGGGCTACTGGCCAGTAGGGCCGCTGTCTAGCGCATGAAGTCACTTTCATACAAAACCATCTGCTTGAAAGCTTATTGTGACATCATTAGATGCCTTCAAAGACCTAAGTAATTGATGAGATCTGTAAAGTAACAACACATTATGTTTACTGCAAAAATCTTGCTGCAAAAGTCTCCGCGGCCTTTGCTTCCAGCTGCACTGCAGACTGTGCTTCGTGCTCGACCTGCCCCTTGCACGGCAAATGTCTATGGCACATCCGGTTTCGTTCTTTTCTCCTAGGCACCAAGTCTTGAAGAAGACAAGCATTGAGATTTGCCATCTGCTCAGGTACCTATATCTAAACTCTGGAACGGGTTCAATCTTCAATTCTCCCAAATAAATCCCAAAGTTTTCATGATAACACCGATCTCCAACTACTCTAAGGTCTGGAAAAAGCCGCCAGCCAGCCAACGGGCCGTCGTCTCAACAGGCCAAAGGGCGTCTCTCTCTCGCCTCCAAACGCATGACATCCTTGCACTGCTTGTCCACCGCGCGTGACATGAGGTTGGCCTACAACAAGGTTGGAAGGCGGGAGGCGCAGGCGGCGCCGTGACCGGATGCATTTCTGGATGTGCCAAACAAAGAGAACTAGAGACTAGAAATCATCTAGAACCTGAGAAATACAGCCAAACTGCGATGTCCTCATGCCCAACCAAGGTCTACTACACTGTTCAAGTGTGACCCCTATTCAGGACTTACCAGGACCAGTACCTATTGAATATTGCTGTGTTTGCTTCTGGGTCCGACAGGCTAAGGACGAGCGCTTCTCCTATGCATCCTTGCCAATGAACGTCTTTGACAACATTGTCATCGCTTTTGCAACGTTGCCATCATGTTCACAGCATTGTCATCACTACAACATGCCACAGCGTTATCATCGAACAGTCGTGTGATTATATTGAGGTGGGTGGTGGGGGCGGCAGCATCAGCTTAGAGGCTTTCAGAATCCGGAGTTGGAAGAGGTTCTCCCTTGCAGAAAGCTACAAAGACATGGACTTTGGGTGTGAGAAAAGACAGGCGAAACCCTGCATTTCGCGATGATGTTTGCAGGTGAAACGCCCCTGCTATTGTCCCAACCCCGGTGGAGCTTTGTTTTTTCTCATGGACACAACACAACATGCATCTCTGAAGAAAACTGGCGAGAGGTGTTCTTGTGCTTGAAGTCACCCTTGGATCGCAGCTCGTTTCAGCAAACATTGGCCTCGCGTCTGCATTGCTCCAACTTGCATCGCAGGTGCCACAAAGACCTTGGTCGAAAACCCTGGGCAATCTCGATCTGGGCAAACTGACTGGTGCCTGTTCTGCAACTTGACAACCTATGAGAGAAAAGTCGAGTCACAAGTATCATTTCATTCATGTACGGGTTGGTCAAACTTGCAGAATCCGTTCCCCAAAGAACATCGGATTTTGTTGCAATTGTGATTTGAGCGACATGTTTTGTCCACAATGAATCCTAGGGAAGCTGCTGACGGTCTTGTGTGGCCTGCAATCTCGCGGCCTGGTCATCCTGGCAGTCATCTGTCGCTGGAAGTTTTGACCCCTTATTGCAGGTACTATCGGGTACTAAGCCTTGTTGCGGGAGCTCGTGAAATCAGTCTAGAGCTCTTGAATTCAGACGCAAGAGTCCAAGCTGCTCTCAGCAAAGTGTTGATGCGGTTTCGGTCTCCAACAAGGCTGCAACTCTCTATCCAGCAATCTAATTTCTTTGAGTAGGTTATAGTAGGCTAGTGATTGCAGAACAACAGGAGAATCCACCGGCTCTGCATTCAATGTTTTGGAAATGTGGCTCCATCAATCTTCGCCTTCTGGTGAAGAAATGCCACCTCAATGATGACATGAGTCAAAATTAAGGATGGAAGGCCAATGGAAGGCCCAACCTCTGCCTACCTTAGGTACTATAGCATTGTCGAGTCCGTGTTCATTAAAACAACTTTTGTCAGGGGCGTTGCAGGAAACCGAACTCCTAGCCTTTTCCTTGTGGTATGGCCCAGCCTGGTTGGGTCTACTGTGTTTATGTCCAACTATCTACGTCCAACTACCACACCATGAAGTAGCTTCCAGATTGAGACACAACCACATGTTCCTTTCGTTTCAGTGAGGACTGCACTGGCGGCATGCAAGATCAAGTTGTCAATGGGCAGGCATTTTGTTTGTAGCCATGTGAGGATCCATGTGCTTCGAGAACTGTTGCTGATTTAAAGTCAAAAGCTGCAGGTATATAAGTCACATAACATCGTACTGTCATATCATATAGGCAATTGGCGATATGTCGATAGTCTCACTGACAAGCACTGCAAACCATGAAACATCTTTAATGCCAACTGCCTTTCTAGTCCAAGACTAGTCCACGAGCTTTCAATCATGTTAATGCTGCAAGCCAGCTGCTGCAACTGCAAGGCGATGTGTCTGAACAAATTTGCCTTGCCACTGCTACAAGACAACAATAAACTCTGTTGCTGTTGCATGCTGAATACACACACACACAAATGAATCAACAAAAATACATCTCAATGACCCGCCAACCCCGGTTCGCACTATTCTGGTCTGTACTTTGCACGGCCACAAGGTCAAGGCATTGTCAACAACGCCTAGACAGTGCCACGTTCACTTTACTATGGCAAAACAAAGCAAACATACATTTCGGTTCACATACATGGCTTTAATAAGACCCTAAACAAGAACACTGCAGCTATGATGGCTTGTGTCATCAGAAAAGGATTTGCACCAAACATATTGCTCCAAAGTATGATCCGATTCTTTGTGATTGTTGTTTCTTTGTTCTCCGCCTCGGCCTCAGCTAGCCTGTAATTGAAGCAGCTCTTCTGCCTGAAGCAGCTCTCTTGCGCCGTGAGAGCTTGGGGAAGAAGCAATGAGTGTAGGACCAAGTTCTAGAGTGTAGGACCTACACTGTAGAAGGCGCCTCTCTGAAGACTTGCTTGCATTCGGCCATCGCAGCCTGCACTATTGAAAGTGAGAATGCAGTGAAAGAACAACATGTTGCTTCGGCACAAACATCAATGGAAGCGTACCTCAAATTCCTGAACATGATCCTTCAATGCATCGTCCAGGGCCTGTAAAAGCTCGGCACCATGCTTGTTGGGTGGAATTCGCCGCATTATGCTGTTCTTTGCAAACTTTTGGAATCCAGAAGCACATGAAGGACAATTGTTGTTGTTTTTTAGAGATTGAAGAACAAATTTCAAAGGTGGATCTTGACATCCAAGCCAAAGGCCTCCGGGCTCTGCAAATCTCCCAAGTCCAGGTCTTCTGGAGAAAACCATGACCTTACAGCTTTCGTCTGAGTCTCAGTGATTCTTGCCCAAAATGCAAATGGACCGATGCTCGGTCCGGCTTGTGAGGACGTGGCTGTGGGTCAGGGACCTCCACGGCAGTCTGCTCATCCAAGCGCTTGATCTGAAGTGAATTCGTCCCGCTTTCGATCAACGGCGTCCGGCTTTCCCCAGTGAAATTCCAGGGAATGAGCAGCCATGAGCTTTTCTGGTTCTAAGTCTTGACCCGCGCCTGTGTACATGTCCAAACTTGTGAAGCCTTTGGTGTGACAAACATGGTAGGTTTACTATGGCAGTGCTACCCATCCGGTCCATGCTGAGTCCATGCCGAGTCCGGTCGTTTCTGCTCGTCTTAGATCGCCTCTCGGTCCAAGTCTGGCAGTCGAAAGCGCTTGCTGTCTAAAGCCACCAGATTTGGGCAATGCTGCCGCACGAGTCGCTGGTACCTTGGAGGGTTCAGGGAAGAGGAAGACCAGTGGATAAGAGAACCAAACGATTCAAGCAAACCCACAAAAAGTCCTTCTGGCTTTGACAGTGAAGGGATTTGCAAGATCAGCATCGGTCTATCCTTCTTGAAGTGTCTGTGCTGAAGATATCTTTTGGAAGGTGGCGGATCAGCAATACTAAGATGAAAACTCTGGCACAGAGCAAACTGGACAAGACTCTGATTTGTCCTGCGCCAAGAATGGGTGGAACGGGTGGAAGTGCGGAACTGTGTTAGTGAGGTTTCACGGCAAGATGTTCAAGCAACCAAAGCAATTAGCTTCTTGTTCCTAGTAGTAGTGGTCGCCTAATAGCGATGGCCTCCAACCTAGTAGCGTCCTTGTTACTTCACGCTGGAAGGTTGCATTGACACAACCCTGTCCACGTTTTGGAAGGCCAGGTGCCGCAAAGCTGATCCTGACTTCAGACCTGTCGGGTTCCGGGTCCAAAGAATGTTTAGATTCCCCTTGCTACCAACACCTGAAGGAAGGAGACATAAGAAAGGATGGTGGGCATGCTTGGCACCTGGGAACTCTGCACACCTTGGAGTTGGGAGCTCCACTCTTCTATGGCTTGCCCCCACCAATGTCCCAACAACGTTTCCTATCAATCATGACCACGACCTCCTTCGGCCCTACAAGGATCAACACAAACACCGAGCACGATCACGATGAAACCGATGGAAACCGGGGCGCGAGGGGTTTCAACATCTTACTCAGGGCTTTCCTAAAGCAACGGTCCGATCCTTTTGAGAAAGCGTCGCCTTCCAAGTCTTGTAGCTTGGAGATGGGATTGGCCTCGAGAGGACCACTACTGGTGCAAGGCACACATTTCTTCGATGGCCGACATGGATGGCCGACATGGGGCCAAGCTCAACCAGTGACAAATTCTAAGATCAAGCGATTTCAATATCACGCAAAGAGGAGAATGGGATACAACGATGCACTTGTGCATGTCCAATTGATTCTGGTAAAGATTGAACTTAAAGAAACGCTGTATTGCAATGTCAGCTTCAGTTTTGGGTGCAGCAATCACTGCCTTCAGCATCAGCCGTTCCAGCTTTGGTGTTGCACCCAAGTCAGTGACCTGCAACAGCCGGATTGGCCGAAGCATTTCAACAGCGATCAGGTTGAGTTGATGGCTGCAACAGCCGGCTGATCCTTGTCTTGTGTTCCAACGTCTTCAAAGCCATGGCTGTTCCGGCTGCGCCTTGACAATCCTGTTGGAGGACAGGTCCACCTGAGGACAGGTCGACGCTTCGACGCTTCGAGTCGAACTTCGCGCGTAACGCCCACGCGAGCGTCACGTCCGGGGCACTGAGACCAGCTGGCTTAAACCATCCAAGTTCTCCATTCCTGGCAACGAATCGGAGCGTTACAGCATGTTTGTTAAAGCCCCAGAGAAGCAGAGGCCTGTTCACGTCGTGTGTGGTGAGTGCAATGCTTTTCAAGAGACAAGCAATGATCGGTGGCCCCAAAACACCAATCAAAAGAGTGGCTGCTATTAGCGCTGCTATACCTAAACGATCCTAAGCGCAAAGCGCGTAGAAGTAATCTTACCTTGCAGTTCTGCATTCCACCCTGTCAAACCCGTGTGAAGTGCGTTTGCCAGTGAAGATCTGAGAATCATGCGTACGATTTGGTTCTTCGAGAGGTCCAGCCATCGCAGGTTACAGCCTGTGGCAAAACATTCCACCAATTTTGCCAGCCAGAAACCTGTGATCTAACGGAACTGCAAAGCAAACATGTTGAGAGCTTCAACACATGGGGGTTGTCCAACAAAGCTCTTCTTTTTGAGCTTGTATCGCCGGCCTTTCGCGGTCCTTTCGCGTTTGCAGAAAAACCACAGGTGTTCCTTTCGCGCATTGTGATAAGATGTGATAAGCTTGTTCCATTGCACTGAGTTCACAGTGTTTGGGATATCCAAACAAAGGTTTCAAGGCCATGGATGAGCACTTGCCCTTCCAGGCAATGCGCCCTTTCGCGGGCCTACCGCCGGCCTTTCGCGGCCCTTTCGCGAAAATCCGTGTTTCTGTTCGGGAAAAAGGATGTGTCATGTATTGTCATGTATTGTAATGTTATGCACATTGTATGTTATGAGTCTAGGTTGGCACATGTCTTTCGCCGTCCTATCGCCGGCCTTTCGCGGACTGCAGTTTCCCTTTCGCGACATGTATGTTTTAACATTTCATCTAAATTCCTTCACTGGCAATAACGGACGGCCCTCACATGGCACTGAGCTGCTTGCATTTGTTAAGCTGCTCAATTCTGGTGATCGAGCCTTAGTTTTTGGAACTACTGTGTGGATTTGGATGCTGGGTGCAAACAGAAATGTAATATAGTGGCCTGTGGCAATGATGGCCTGTGACATGGCCTGATAAGTATCACCTCCTCTTCATGTTACTGTCATCTCCTGCCAGCTTCTAAAGTTAGTTTGAGCATATTTGGACCTGTCAAAAAGCCAATCTCAGACCCAAGGAAACATCTAGGAATTTCTAGAGTCATCTGTGGTCATCTTGGTTTAAAGAGGATCCCTTTTGAAGCAGCCCTCAGTGATAAGCAAAGATATATAGTCTGAGCCGCGATTGCTTAGGATGGCCTGGAAGACGCTTTCCTGCACCGCAATTCTATGAGCTGTTTAGAAGGTACTCAGGAATGCGTTGAATTGACCACAAACCATTGAAACAGCAAACAGCACATGTCAAGCAGTCCTCATCAAACTCACCAGTGGCATGCTTGATGAACTCCACTGTGAGAGGTGGCATGCCGTGCGGCGTCTTGAGCCACACGGCTGAGTGTGACAGAAAGCCAGTCAGTTCGATCAGCTCATGTCTGAGGTTAAATCATTGAAAGCAATGCATACAAAGAGTTGAATGCCTGTCCCTTCGCTTCAGAAGTTCTGAACGGCCAAATCAAACTTCTGCTGCTCAAACTCTTTGATGCCGACAGTACCAGCAGCCTGCTACGGCCTATTCTTATGCCCTTGGCTATCTGTTTGTACAGCTGACCTTCAGTATGGCTTGAAGATGCTTCAACCACTCAACCATGGCTTGTGGACAAGGTCTGAGCGTGGGCTAACGCTTTGGCCGCTGCCTCATTGGGTGGCATACCGGAACTGCGGTATTGCTCAAAGAGTGCCTTCACACGAGCTTGCAGCGTCGCCTTGTCGTCTGCCGGGGCTGGAGCAGCAGCAAGCGGCGCTGCCTTGCAGTCCATGGACAACTTGATGGCCATTGCGAGGTCATCCTCTACTTCGGTCTTGTCCTCCTCCTTTGCTTGCATTGAAAGCTCCATGGCTGCTTGCAGTGTCGCCATGTCATCCTGGCTCATTGAGCTTCCCCTGGTGATATTGCGTTGGAGATCTGGTTTTTCAGGAGGCGCTCGGTCTAGGATAGATTGATCTGGTGCAGGAACTGCAGGTTTAGAAATGGGCAAGTCCATGTGAAGTCCTTCACCTCGAAGGGCAAAGTTTGCTGCATCCCCGGGAAGGCCAACTGCTTGGATTGCAGTCCCACACCTGATGGCACCGCGTGCATAGGCGACACCGATCAGAACCTGTCGGGAGTGCGGAGGAAGAGCAATCACTGCATCGAAGCTCTCACGAGAGGCCACACATCCGATGCTGTCAGAAGCATCAACCTGCAGAGCTGTCTGGAAGTCTGATGAATTCTCTGCCACAAAGGACATGCCTGCCTCCTCTTGAAGGAGCCAGCACGATACACCCTGTGCTGCTTGCTGAATTGGCCTCTTTTTGCCTCTTTTCCGTGTGCCCTCGATCACTGCAGTTGCAGTGTCCGACCAATCCAAGGAGACACGCTCCGTTTCCACAGCTTGAACCGAATGCACAGCAACCACAGCTCGTCGAGGTGTAAACTCTTGAGACATGCCGTAAGATACTGGGACAATGCGATAAACATAGCCGCCCTCCAAGATCATCTCTGAACTGACATCATCTGTGCGAGCACGCTTGACAATCTCAATGAGGTCATATTGGACCTTCCCCTCAGAGACACCAAGCTTTCTCAGTACTGCGAAGCCAACATCAATGTTGGTGGCCTTGGCATGCAAAGCAGCCTCCCTGGCGATGTGTTTTTCCTGCCAAATACAAATGTCAACAGCCGTCCGTCGGAAGACAGTCACATCAACTCCTTGACCAGGCCCAACTCCAGAGGGCAACCACACCTGAGTCCGACTCTCACACCAACCTTCATGTACTCGGCAAATTTCCTCCGCGCCAAAGTATTCTTTCACATCATTGTAGTCCATCCAAAAGACAGACATTGGATCCTCCAGCTCAACATTGGAGCTATTCACCACTCCAAGACGATATTTCAGCTCTGGTGTCCACTTGTCGGAATCTTTGCCCCAAGGCCCTTTCCAAGTGCGTGGGGCGCGTTCGCCCCAGGGATTTCGAATTTTCATCATACGCAACAGCCGACCATCGACCTCGATCTCTTGGGCATCCAAGATCCCGTAAGCATGAGGTGCCTGAGCAGTGCAAAGTCCAAGAACCCAAGGAAAATCAAAAGAAACCATGAGAAACCCCACTTGCATGGCAAGTGGAATCTCCTTCTGGTAACCTTTCAGAGTCTTTCATTTTTCATGTGGCTGGTGGGGGATTCTAGGGAGTCCATACTACAGTTGTCCTCGTTTCCTGACATCTATGCGCCACGGCACAGGTCCCCTCAGGTCGGACCTGCCTGGGAAGGCCGTGGAACCCAGATATGCGTCCGATCACTGCACTTCACTCGCAGATTGGTAGGGAGTCTCTCCATGCGCGTCTCTATGCATCAATTCACATGATATAATATACCTTCTAGATAGAAAATGATAGAAGCACTAGTTTTTTAAGGGTCGTGACCGGACTTCCTACAAAACAGCAATCGGTTGTCGCGGGAATTAACCCTGTGCAAATCTCTCCCTGCGTCTCTCCTGCCTGAAGTCCCATCTCCTCTACAATGTGATGCTTGGTCTTCTCGCAACCTTCTTCTGTGCAGCCCATACCCATCAAGTACCCACATTCACGGGCAGAGAGAATTGTGGACCACTTGATGTCATCATTCTCGATGTCATCATCACTATCCTCCATGTCTGGAACCTCAAGCCCTCGTAGCAACATCATGGTCCTCTCATCCGCAATCTGTTTGCGTCTCTCTTCTCGCCGCCGCCGAAGCTCTTTGGGAAGGTAGAGCATCAGTCTTTGGGTCGGAAAACCCGTGAAGAGCCCAAGGGCCTCGCCAAAGGTACCACCCTTCAGCCCCGCCCAGTTGCCGAAGAGCTTGGCGGCCGCTTTCTCAACGAGAGGCACCCAGAGTTGTCGCCTTGATCCTTGCAGGTAGCAAAGTGTTCCACCTCGGGAGTAGTAAATCGTTTGTCCATCAATGTAGCCTTCAAATATCTGAGAAGTGGGAAGAAGATCGTCGATCAGAATCCTTCTCCAGCTGCCAGCATGATGTAGCTTCAACAGGTACGCACCATTGGGATTAAAGTCCTTGGTCTCGAAAAGCTTCTCCACCATCTTTGGGCAGGTGGCCACAACACTTAGAGCACCTGCGAACCAACAGTTGCCTAGGCCTCCCTGACAAACATCCTCTGTGCGTGCCTCCCCTCGAATCAGCTTCCAAGGTGCCCCAACAGTTGTGTTGGACATGGAGTCACGCAAGAAATGTGGGCACAAACGAGGAAGTAGCTCCTTGCCAGCAGGAAGATGGCTATACAAGAGCTCGCACCCTAGGCAGCGTTCCCCCGGCCGCAACCACTGTGTTGGTCTGGAAAAGAAATGAACTTTGATCGCGTAGTGCGCAGGTTCTCCGCAACCGACACACTTGGCTTTCTCAGCAAAGTCGGCTTCCTGCTGCTTAGCTTCCTCCTGTGACTTTGGCAACGGCGGAGTCGGAGGCAGCGGAGAATGTCGTTTGCAGCCCAAACATTGCCAGGTTTCAGCATCTTCTGCGCTGAGATAAAGCGACTTTGAAGTTGGTGGGAATTGAGGGTCCACATACTTGTCTCCGGTTTCTTTGCAGAACTGGTTGATCTTTTCGACCGCATCCAGCTCAATCTGGACATCCTCTGCCCGGAAACGCTCAAAGGAAACTTCCGTTCTCTCATCAGGCTCGTCTCTTTCCAAACGCTCAGCCAGGGCGCGCTCTTCTTCTTCGCTGGGCCGTGCTCGCTTGGTTGGGGCAGCATCGACCCCATCGTCCATGGAGAGACGCAACGCTTCTGCTAGCTCTGCATCCTCTGCATCTACTGCAACATCACCCGCTTCACCATCAGCTGACATTGTCAGACAGTCCAACAGTTCCTTGGCTTGAAGAAAATCTTCTCCTGGATCCCGTGATGACAGTACCAAAGCCTCGCCCATATCTGCAAAGCCCAGAGCCTGTAAAATCTGAAGTCCAATGGGAGACAGCTTCCCTTCCAACTTGCTCTTGTTCAAGGTCCTGTACTTGCCCTCCCCAGGGTTTGCAATGACATTTGAAAGGATGCGTTGCAAAACACAGAAGTTCTTCAGCGCATCCTCAGGAGAGAGGCTGCTGCTGGCCTCTTCGATCAGTGCCGACATGGGCTTCGAATTCAGAGATGAAGGCTAACTTTGCTCTTGTGATCTCTCTGGCTAGCTGCGTCCTGTCAGATTGATACAACAGTCTATATTTTGTTGGATGCCATGAAATGTCGGTGAAGAAAGGAGTGGTCCCTTTAGTGGGGTGGTTGGTTGATACCCATGTTCTTTGCGTTTCAAGGCGCTCTCATGAACTGAGGCTGTTTCAGGAATCGCAGGGATGAGACCATGTAGATAAATAAAGAGCTTAGAGTTGAATTTGCCTTCAGTTCGCAGCAGCAGCAGGTCAAGGCAAATCCGTGTGAGTGTGAAGGTATACTCGATACTCCCAAGCAGAAAACATGCCGTTCTCTTGACCATCATACCAAGACGGGTGGCACTGTTTTGCTCTGCGCTTTTGTCATTGTAAAAAAAAGCCCTTTTGGAGCTTGGCCTTTCCCTCTAAACGCATGTACCAATTTCACATAGAAGTCTGCCGGAAGCATGCTGCTACGCGAGCCCTTCCTTTCAACCCTGAAAAGGAAACAAACAAAAAGTGTATGCTGCTGTCAATCAATCACGAAGACAAAGATTCATTTGATTTACACTATGGCATGTCTTGAGAGCATACAACTGGAGGCAAGCGACATCTGCCTGTCTGGAAAAACCTGCCAGGCTAAGCCCAAGCAAAGTCCTCGCCAAATCACAGATATACCTGTAATTAATCGAGTATCAGTATCATGGTCAGAACTTGGTCGTTGTGCCAGGCCTTTGTCACCGTTATGGTTGCTAGTCACTCCTGGTTTGGTTGGAACTCTGCACTTCAAAAAAATGTGTTGCTACTTCTTTACTGTGCAAGAATAGTCTGAATCTCACATTGCTAGTCGGCTAGTCGTGAGTACAAGAGTTCCAGCAATTAAGATTTCTCAATATTTATTACTGCAGGTAAATACGTAAGTACAGTATCTTGTTGAAATAGAATTTCCTATCATTCTCCAAGTCTCTCAGAAATGACTGTGGTAATAGCTGCCGGCCTCCGTTAAGCTGATCAATTCTGGTGATCGGCCTCAGCAGTCGGACATTTATATCCTTCTATTGGGTACAAACAGAAATGGATTCTGTTCCGAGCTGCCATATGCTGCGATAGCTCGGGATGACCTGCAGCACCATGATTTTTTTACGACATCAAAAGGGCCAAGAGATGTGTAAAAGGTATGTCAAGTGATCCTCTCAAACTCAGTGGCGAACTCCAGGTTGAGAGTTATTCATGCGAGCTGCGTCTTGAGCCATGCAGCTTCACTTTGCAAATCAACCCACTTGTTCGTACCTACATGACCCGCAAATGAAACAATTATCACATAAACTATCGATTTTCTATAGCCTTGCAAATGTTGTGAGAAAACAATACAATGTACCCGATGGCTTAGAAAGTCATGTTGGCATTGCCGACATCTTCAGTGCTTGCTATAATTCCTGCTATCGAAGTCTTTGCTTGAACAAACTCTAACTCCTACACACACAACGGTCGTGTTTTCGGGAGACCCCCACAACCGGTGAAAGGGAAAGTATTTGAGACCAGGTCATTGGTTGAGGTGTCTGCCCCTTTTGAACCAACGCGCTGAACAATCCCGCATCCTCGCCCAAGCTGTTTTCTCGCATCCACCGGGCCAAAGGGACATTGGCATGAGCATCTGGAGAGCTTTGCCGCATGTGAGCGCGCTGGAACCTCTGCATGAGTTGATCAAGGAACAAGGAACCCTATGAGAATAACGCACACATGAAAAATCACGGGCTTGCGTCAAGGCAAAGACTGAGAACATTGTTGGCGAAGTGCTCTGATGCCACTAGGCATGTCCTTTGCAGGTTGAACATGCATACTCAAATGGTGGTTGATCCATGCCCGATACCGTTTCATGATGGAATGGCCATTCTTCGCGAAAAAAATATATCCTTCACGGGCCTTCACGGCTTCATTACGAAGCATGGTCCTAAAGCCATGTCTAGTTAACGTAGTTAACATGAGCTGGAAGTGTATATGTTTGTATCACTAAAAGGGACTGACATCTTGCAGCATGGCCCCAGCACAAGGTTGAGAGTTGCCACAGCTACTCAGGGTCACCTGCACAGCTACTCAGGGTCACCTGCAGCAACTGTGCGACATCTGAAGTATTGGAGGAGGCTTCGAATAGAGTCAGGCACAATTCAACCCAATCCTCGTGCCAGCTACCAACACAGGGCGATGCAGCTCGGGGAATGCTGGGGGGCCTCAAGACCTGGACATTAGTGGCATTTTCGCAGATCTTTCGCGACATTTCACTGGCGATTGCCCTGGGAAGGCACAACATGTGCAAACATCTGCGCAACTCGTCAGAGCTGCGGGTCGTTGCATCACTGTCATGGCTGTGCCTACTCAGGTTGCTAGTCTGTGACAGTGGGCTGGGCAAGGAAACGTTGCAGCTTCAGTTCGGTTGTGTGTGACGGTGGGGATATGCGCAGACACTTCCGCAAGCCGGCTCTGCCGGAGGATTGCCTTGCATTTCTACCATTTGTCGGTCGGTAGAAAGTTTAATATTAAAGCGAAGACCTTCGATAAATCTTTCCAACCTCATTTCGAATCTTTCGCGGATGGTGTTCACCTCATCTGAAAGGCTGTTATATATAAATATAACTCCTTACACGCGGATTTACATCAACTCCCATATATTTTACACTCATTCACACCAAACATCACAAAACAAGTCATCGTTGCCTGTCCTTCACAGTATGGTGTTCAATTTCCGCGTGATCAACTTCATGACATCGGCCGTTGGTTTCGGCCGCCCCGTTCACATTCGGCCCGTCCTCATCATTCTGCAACCGGATAGACTCAGCTCTCATGGCCTCAGATCCCACAGTGAAACTTTTGGCTTCTTAACATTTCGGGCCCAAGAGCGATGTTTGGCTTCTCGAAAGAAAACCACAGAAAAGACAAATGTATAGAATAGGTGCTTGGCAACGTAGAGTACTACATATTTAATCATATTCATAATTTATATCTATATCAAACACACGAGAAACGCCCTTTATAGGAGTATCTTAAGGTGAAAGAGACCAGAGCTCCCTTGGCTCACCGCTCGGCGTCGATATGCAGCAGTTTCACGATTGCAGGCCTGCAGTTTCACGATTTAGGAGCATCTGCCAGCGAAGTTCAAGGCAAGGCTTGCCACGAGTCGGTGGTGCGGAATCTTTAGCTCTGCAAATCGATGTGCATTAACAATCTGCACCTTCCGCAAGCCGACTTATGGACTTGGATGGTACGGACAATGCTCAAATGCAGTGAAACCTTGCAAGACTTTGTTGCGAAAACGAGGCTCTTTCGGAACACTTGCTCGACATCACAAGAATGAGCCTCGGCTAAGGCAGTGTAAGTGATTCCTGCTACCCATGATCCAGCTAAGGCACCAATAGCTCTGGCTTGAGTCGACCTTTCTGGTCGGACTGGCGATGCAAATATGGTGGAACAAGTCAGTGTCACCTTGGCTTTCACGATATGAACCCACATCGAAACCATTGAAACTAGTTGGACAACCGACGAAGGTTTACAATGGACTTCTGTATAATTCTTTCCTGTTTTCATGATGTAAGCATATGATATGCAACTTCAGCCTGAAAGCACGTCCTCCGTTTCGAGTACATACTATATAATGAATATATATAACTATATATTTACATATATTTACAGTACTATACAGTCAGTATACCTGTAGTACTACCTGTAGTTCCCCGATTACAACCTTCAACCACCAAGTTCAATGATGATCAATGGCTAATGTTGCAACAGCTCGCTGGCGTTGACATAGTCAGTGGGTCTGCCACCGGGTCCACCTTCGATGGCCCTGAAATGGAGGTGTAAGCATCCTGCAAAGCCAACATGTGGACTTTCTAAGGCTTTCAATGCTGTGAACGGCACAGTTTCCAGCTTCGTGTGTGAGACAAGAACAATCCGGTTCAAGTGGTATTTGATGGTATTTGCACCTCATTATTCGTCTGCCGCACTTTTTCCGGCGACCAAGAGATCTTTCTAGACATTTCTAAACTACTAGTCATGAGAGTATATCGAACCGTTGACGACCTGTTCGCTTTGAGGCCAAGATGTTTGAAAACTTGATGAGAAAGGCTTGCTGTGATTGGCTGTTTCTCCTCCGCAGGCTTCTCCTAAGTCGTGATTGAGCCCTATTACAGAGCATGCCAGAGATTGGTTTCCGAACGAAAGCGGTCTTCATTCAAATCACGCACTGCAGCCTAGCGACAGCTTGCACTTGGGAGGAATTCCAATCTTTGCCTGGCACTGAGAATCATTTGACATCATCAATCAAAGCATCTGACATCTGACTCAACTAGGACTCACCACGACGTGTCACAGTGCTGGAATTCTTAACTTTAACCCAACCAAGCGCCACTCACCTCACCCTTTCTCCCTGGCCATCAAATGCTACGGAGACATGATTCGCATGATTCATTAGTAATAACATGTTTTAATCCACTAATAACATTGAATAGATCTATGTTTTTAAGCGTGCAACCCTCTTTTGGCCACTTTTTTTTGCACAAGACAAAATACACGCTTAAATGCGCCAAAAACCCTCTGATTGGAACCCGTGATTTGTGTGCAAAGCTCTCTCTTCGACTCACATGTTTGCCAGAAAATGCAGGCTTTGCCAAACGTAGCGCCCTGAACACAGTTCAAGTGCCAATTTTGGAACTAAACACCCACCCAACATGACAAACTTTACGCTCAGTGCACCATGAAATGCACACTTGTTCCACCTCCAAAGCACCCGATGTTTGCCACAACAAGGCCCTGATACCCTGCCTAATGTGCGAAACGGTAAATTCATAAGCATACTGGTAGAATTTAGGTACACATCAATGCTCCCAGTGCATAAGCATACTAAGGGCTACCCAATTTATTACTGTATATTATTGATGCTATACTGTACTGTTTAGCCAAGAAGGTCACCAAGTTACAAAATGCCACCAAGGGAGTTTCTTCTGACTGTTTTCCACTGTTTTCCACGGTGTGACCCGATGGCGCCTCCTTGACTTCCCTGCAGCGAATCAATCAAGAATCGAAGACAAATGCTACTAGTAGTAACTTCTAGCACCTAGTAGTAATGGCCTCCAACCCACTAGCGATGGCCTCCACCCTAGTAAGAAAAGCACATTCTGCACAAACTTGCCTTTGAATCCATGGTTTCTGCAGCCGGAGCGGTGGTGTCAGCGCCTTTCCTTTGCAGAGTGTGATCATCACATCTTCACATCATAGTGGGTCAGTATCATGGTTCAAGATGGCGTTCGCAAGTGGCAGCGATGCGCGGGAAAGTCTTGCCGAGCTTGCTTTGCACAATCCAAGAAACTGTAGGACAGTTTCTCGTGCGGCTGTGCGTTCTGCAGGATCATCCTTATTGTCAACACCGTGGACGATGTACCACTTCAAAGGTCCAATGTGCAAGAAACACGTTCGACAAAACTCCAAACCTGCAGTGCATGCAGCATGCACAATCTCGGGTATCACCCCCAACTTTGACAAGCGTGACAAGCCCGCAGCCAAGATTACTATCCTATGCCATCCTACTTACCTGGATTCAGGTTTGCTAGCCGATAGGAGGGCTAACCTGCCAAACCAAGTGCCTTGCCTCGTCTGGTGGGCCCAATACAGTGGTTCAACCATGATGTGGGAGACAGTGATTTGCACAGAAAAATAATCTTGCGTCCCAAGAATGCAACTCAAAAACGTATGGAGTTGGGGAACCCCATACATGAATTGGGGTTGTGAACTTGAACTGCAAATTTCAACACCACTTGCTCTCCGCTAATTCGTTCCAGCTGCTGCCACGCGCTCAACGTCTGCTGCGTTCGCGCTCGACATTGCCTCCATGCGGACCTCAGACCACCACACTCTTCCTTCCTGTTGAGATCTATATGTATATATATATATCCAAGTACAATCGGGCACCCAAAAGGCACATCATGCTCAGTACTTTATAGCATCAGCGATCTGATCCCAGCGAGCTGTTGTTCCAATGGTTGCAGCGGGTATCAGTGTCTAATCACCTTTGTACCACGGCCTGCGGCCTGCGTTAGTTCTACTTTCGCGGGTTTACTGCATTAATCTTACCCACAAACCCCTGCCACTCTTGCCCTTGTTCTATAACAACATAGGTGTACAGGAAGGAATTAACGATTCAACAAAAACAAACGAATAAAGATTCAATGGCTTGCCAAACATGGCTACAAATGGATAAGGGGCATACCCATGGGCCGGATTGGGCAGCTAAGTACCTTGAGATTGATATTTGGTCATTCGCGCCGCAACAAGTGCAGGGTATTTGCGACGCACCACCGATCTTTTAGAATTTATGATGTTTTGGACTTAGCTAGTAGCCATCTTTGTACACTTGGAACGTGTGTGTGTGTGAGAGAGAGAGAGCACAATTCAATGGGTGGTTGCAATACTTCTGCACCTTTAAATGATATCATTGATCATTGATCTATCCATATCATTGATCATTGATCTATCCTATCCATGCAATCAAACACATCATGAGAATACAAGTGAATCATGAACTTTAAAGAGCTGTATTGCAAAACATATTCACACGGAGTTTCGCAACAACAAACCAGTATGCCACTTTCAAAAAGCTTTCTTGGCTTTTCGCACCCTTTCTTTCTTGGCCCCGACCTTGGCCTCTTGGCCGGCGGTCACTGGCGGAGGCTCAGCACCTGCAGCAGAAGTGCAAACGCACAACACATGGCACGAGCTCGATTTTGCAGCACGATTGGTCAACGGTTGGTCACCTGTTCCGGGGTGAGTCGTACAGTCATACCGTATACCTAGCTAATCCTAACTATTTCACGCTTGCAAGCTTAACCTATTGTCCACTTGAATGCCTTTTCTGCTGTACTTTTGCTGCTGTTGACTTAGAGAATGTACATCCTGGTTTATAGAATTTGAAACTTATGTGCCGGCATGAGAAGCTCAGAAGAGTAAACATGAGTGATGAAGGAGTCGCAACGTCGATGTCGCACCTCGTTCCGCTTCGGCCTCTGCCTCTGCCCGCTTAATGAGGCCCCGCGGTGAGTTATCAGGAGGATTGCTGAGTTGCTGCCTCGGACAACGTGAGCTGCCAAAGTCGTGGAGATAGTTTTGGTGGGAATCCAACAGCAAGTCTCACAAATGAGGGATTGAGAATGGATCATGTTTTACTATCACCAAGAACATCCTCTAACCTTTTGGAGTAGACTTGCTGTTCTATCTTGCGCTTTCGTGATCCAAACATCGGCATCTCATGCTGGCATCGGGCTTTCCCCTGGCGTCCCTTTGAGGCACCCTGCCATGTGTGGTCCAAGTCATCCTGCGCTTCTCTTGCTGAGCTACCGGAGAAGCGGCTCATGTTAGCAGCAGCGTCCATTGCCTGGGCAGCATCCATGGATCCAAACATTTGTTCATGGTGTTATTTTCAGATTGTGTTGTGTAGTTTGGCCCTGGTTTGAGGAACCTTACTCGGGTTTCAGAAGTAACAGGCCGTTTTACAGACGGTCGGGATCTGATGAGGTCTGAGGATTCCACACGCTTCATCCTTCTCTTCCACACGTCTTCCTGGCGTAACAGCATTCAGCAATTGCCCGCCCAAGTGGAAAACACGAAACGGTTCGGCAAGAATCTGGAAACATCTGTAAACCATCTCTGAGCATCATGCAAAAGTCGGAAATTGCTTCAGGACGTTGGATGGATACCTCACTGGGCAGCACACGCAGTGCCATGTTCATGTGCCCCTTTTTTGTATGGCTGACAATCACTTGCTGCTGAAACGCCAAGGTGGAGGTGTAGGTTCCACCAAAGGATGCTTTGGTTCTTTCACAAATTCGAAGGTCTTCTCCTCAGGGCCCACGCACAGTACGAACGACGCATCGAACCCCAACGGAGACAAATCCGACTCCTCAAGAGTGCGCCGGGCCGGGAACTGCTTCCAAGAGTCATCGATTCCATATCCCACGGGGTGCTGCTCTTGGCTCACTTTGCCTTGACGAAGTAGCTGCTCCAGTGGTCACAAAGATCGTTCGGTTTTGCGACTCGTGCGACCGTGTCTATTGTTTCTCGTCTAGTGAC